ACCTCAAGTCGTCGGACGCAGGCGCAAGGCATCGCCAGGCGTGGTCTCGGCCAAGACGACGTCGGTGACAACGACGCCGACACCGACGCCTACACCGACACCGGCTGGCAACCGCACCTGCGGCGCACCCGAATGGAACACCGACTACTACGGCAACGACATCTCCAACTTTCCCACGTCTGGCTTGGTCAACGACATGTTCAAGCAGTGCTGCGATGCGTGCAAGACCACGCCCAGCTGCGGCGCGTACACGCTCTCGGGTCAGGTCTGCTACCTCAAGACCGTTGCTGGCAACCGCCGATCGGTCAACGGTGCCATGTCAGCAGTCGTGTCGGGAACGTGGGTCACCTCGACGCCGACCTCGACGGTGGTGATTGTTCGGACGTGCGTCAACCCACCGTTGTACAACGCAGACTTTTTTGGCAGCGACATTGCCATCTTGCCAGCGACCGGCGAGTTTAACGCGATGCTTGGTCAGTGCTGCGAGGCGTGCAAGAAGAACATGGCTTGCAACGCGTACGTCTTGTTCGAGGGCGTCTGCTACCTCAAATCGGCGTCCACCAGCCCTCTGGCCAAGAGCGGTGCGACGGCCGCCATTGTCACGACGATGACGATTGCGTCGTAAGCCATTGCGTACCCAGATTGCACTCTGTTTTATATACCGTAACGTGACGATGTTTTGCATGGTTTTGAGTCTTAAAGAATGTGGCCATGTATTGTCTATATGGATGAGGCCAATAACACATTGAGAAATGCAGTACAACACAAGCTCATGTCCTTTCTGCGAGTGAGGGGTCGAGAGACATCCACATTGACTCGCCGTTTGAAAGGCTACCGCCGCGAGAACATATTGCGCACGTGGCTGCCATCCGTTTAACGCGAATGGATCACAGTGGGCAAATGGAAGAGGTCGCAGCAGACAAGTCGACCTGTGCAAGTAGTCAAGCAAGAGCCAAGGCCGCGTCTCGTCGGCTAAACAGTCGACCAAGATATCTAGGCTTTGTGAGTTGCCTTGGCCAATGCAAATAGGCCGAGCTAGGACATCACCTGTCGGATCGTACATGTTGGTTTACCTCGTGCAAGCTATGCAAGGGGATATTCCCTTGAAACTATTACTGAGCCAAAAAGTGGGTCCACCACCGTTAAAACCTCTCCGTACGCTCAACGACCAAGTGTTGGTACCAACGCTACGCACACAGGCGTAGCTCGACGTCATTGCGTAGCTTTTGCGGATTTGATTGTCAACGCAAACATGATTGACGTAGTGATAGACTGCCAAAATACATTGCGTTAAAATTGTTTCTTTTCACAGCATTACCTTTCAGACGTCTAGACCTTGGTAAACGGGACATCCACAAGAATTGTTGGCGACGACGTGTTGAGCCCCTCGACACCAAACGCCGGCCCGCCGCTGGACATGGCATCCAGCGCCCACAGCAGCGTCGTCGTCGAGTTGCGCGCAAAAGAGATCGGCGCCGCATAGACGCCGTACTGCAGCTGGAGACCACCGTTCTGGCCGCGGGAGATGGTCGCGTTGCCGTAGTACTCGGTTGAAATCGTTGCGACATACGTGCCGATCAGAGCGTTTTGGGCGGCCACTGGGATCGGATCACTCAGCTCCGTCCACGGCGCGCCGCCAAAGACACGCGCATTGCACGGCGACGGCGGGCGCAGCGCATTTGCGGCCGCAATCGCCTCTTCAAGCGCGGTCACTAGCGTTCGCTCGGGAATGTCGAGAAAAATGCCCGCGAGGTACGTCCGCATGCGGTCCGACAAGACAGCGTCTTCGAACGGGCCGCCGTGGGCCTCGGCGTTGGCAAGCAGCACGATACCGAGCTGCTCTTTTGGTAAAAAGCCATTTCGAGTCTTGAACGCGATCGTGTCGCCGCCCTTGTCAAAGTAATGGTGACCAAACATGAGGTTGCCAATGATATCAAAGCCGTAGCCTGCCGTCATGGCGCCGCCGTCTGGGTTGTACGACATGCCGACGAGCTTGGCGAGCGGCGCAAACATTGTGTTGATATTGTGGCCCGTGATCATGGCTTCGATGGTCGTGGGCGAGCGAAAGATACCCGCGCCTTTCGAGAGGAGAAACTTGGAGAAAATCGCGAGGTCTGCCGCGGTCGAGAGCATCGACCCGGCGGCCAAGTGCCCGTTCTTGTACCCAAGTGCAACCTCGGGCGACGACCGCAAATCGTACGGTCCAGCGACTTTGCCGTTGCAGATGACGTGGCCGAACGAGAGGTCGCCATTTGCTGGCACGTCGGGCACTGCCCCGTACGTGTTGACCATACCGAGCGGTTGGAAGAAGGTCGCATCGAGATACTTGGCCCACGTCATGTTGGTCTGGTACTCGAGCACTTGACCGAGGATCTCGAAGTTCATGTTGGCGTAGGCGTAGCCGGGACGGAGACGTCGGGTGGTCTTGAAAGTGCGGAGCGCTCGCACTAGGCTCCATTCATCGGGGAGGACGCCGAAGCCCCAGCCGTTGTCGCCTTCGTATGCGCCGAACACCGAGTTCATGGCTGCGAGGTCGCCGAGCGTCGTGTACTTTTCCGCGTACTTGTCAACGAGCTCAAACCACGGGAGACGGAGCTTGACCGGGTCATCCCAGCTCAAGCGTCCTTCATCTACCTATCACAGTTGACCATTCGTCAGAAGTCCAAATGTTAAGTTACAAGACATCAACAAGGCACGTACCAGCTTGGCGATCCCCAGCGCAATAAATGTCTTGGTGAACGACCCAATCTGAAACTGCGTGTTTTCAGTCACGACGTTCGAGTCGTTGCCGTACTAGACAATATAGATCCATGAGTACCCGATACAGTGTTGCATACTAGAGATCGATGAGACGTACTTGTTTGGTGCCAAAGCCGCGGGTGAGCACCGTCTCGTTCTGGTAGACGATCGAGAGGGCAAAGCCTGGTACTGCGTGCTGCTGAAGCTGGTCTTGAACAAATGCGATCGCCATTGCCTTCTTCTCGTCGAGCGACCGCTTCTGGGGCCAGTCGATGATAAGCCGGGCATGGGCGAGCTGCAAGAGTAAGATCGCCGCCACGTACATCCAGCGCATGGTCGTCTTAAGATGATGGCAATTTGAAAAGTGAGGACTTGGTGGGAACTTCCTACCAAGTCCTTACACCCAACGACCCACGCAACACGGACGCTTCCCACTGGATAGTGTCCTGCGGTGTGTTGGGTCGTTGGATCGTGCTCATGATACCGAGCTTTTGATTGGTTACCTCCAGTTAGTCAATCGTTGACGACGTGCATTCCGACGCAGATTGAATGTAATTCACGCAGCATCCGGTAAAGCCTGATGCGCGGCCAATCCAGCGCCTCTATATCCGTATCAAGTAGGCATGGCGCCCCACTCAGATTGCCAGCTCCGATTGCCCCATCCTTGGAGACCATGTATCTTCAACGATTGCCTAACTTGTCAATGCAGCTGTGAGCAGACACTTTGCCTTTAGCGGCCTCGAGCGCACTCGATTGCCATCATGCGCTTCCTCTTCCTAGCGCTCTCGTCGTTTCTTGGTCTTTGGGTCGACCAAGTGCGGTTCATCCCGGCTCTGCTGCCGTCGCCGTTAACGTCAACAAACGGTGAGCGGTCGCTTCAGGACAAGAAGGCCGAAGCCATTGCGTTCGTCCACGACCAAATGGTGACGCACGCGCTGCCGGGTCTTGCGCTCGCTGTGGTCTACAAGAACGAGACCATAATCGCGTCCGGTTTTGGCACCAAACAGGTACCTATCTACTTTATCCTGACATGATGTGGAAATCATGTCTGTACTTGATTCTAGTATGGCAACGATGCGAATGCGGTGACCGCCGACACGATTTTCCAAATCGGTTCGTTCTCCAAGACATTTATTGCCCTAGCTATCGGCAAACTCGTACGTATACCATACAACTATTTCGAGGATGTTTGCAAACTCAGATCTTCGATAGGCCGATGAAGGCCGTTTGCATTGGGACGACCCGGTCAAGCTCCGCCTTCCGTGGTTTCAGCTCAAGGACAAGTATGCTGAAGAGTACACGACCATCGGTGATCTCCTCGCGATGAACTCGGTCTTTGCGTCTGGCCAAGGCGACGAAGCGTGGATGCTGGGTGGCGTTGACGAGCGCGCATCGGTGCGAGCGGCTGCCTACCTCGAGACGGCTGGCCGGCCGCTGCGTCCTGGCTACGCCTACGCCAACATGAACTACGAGATCCTCGGCCAAGTCATCGAGTACCAGACCAACCAAACGTGGTCGCAGTACCTCCACACGACGTTCTTCATGCCGCTTGGCATGACCCACACGTACGGAGCCGTGCGCGAGGTCCCGCCGTCTGGCGACCTCTCGTTTGCCCACTACCACTGCAACAACTTGGTGGCAGGGCCGTTTGACCAGCGCATGGCACCTGAAGTTGTTCTCAACGGAAACGACTACATTGCCGCGGGTTCGATCGTCTCGTCGGCAGGTGACTTGGCGATTTTCTCGAAATTTCTGCTCTCGAAAGGTGCGGGCATTTTTCGCTCACCCGCGATTATCGACACGATGATCACGGGCCACAATATCAACACGATGCATGCCACCCTCGGGCCGCTCATGGGCTACGCCTACAACGCCGACGGCGGTGCGCTCACGGCCGGCTACGGGTTTGATGCGGTGGGCGACATCATGTACGGGTACCAGTACTTTGACAAGGGCGGCGACACGTTTGCTTTCAAGACGCGCAACGGGTTCGTTCCCTCAGAAGACCTCGGTGTCGTTTTGCTCTCCAACTCGGAAGCACGAGGCGGTGCGTCTGGTGACTCTTGGATCGAAGACCGCATCCGGACGTACCTCCTCGGCATCTTTCTCGACGTGCCGCAAGCAACTCTCAAGGCCACGTACGAGTCGGCGCGGGCTATCGCCGACGCCTCTCAGCCGTCGACACGTTGCGATGCACACCTCTTTCAAGGCACCCCGTGGTCGAGCCTCGGGTCCCCCGTGCCAACGAGCGACCGCCGAGCACTGGTTGGCACCTACGTCTCTGCTGCGTCGCCCGCGTTCTACGGCAATTTGACACTTTCGGAAGGCAACGGCTCGCTCTTGCTGCACTACGGCAGGGACACGGCCCCGGTGCTCATCAAGGACGACGGCGGATACCTTTGGACGACGGCGACGGCGGGTTACGCGTTCGCTCCGAGTCTTGATATCCAACATATTGGCACCAACCAGACGCAGGTAACACTCCTCCGGCACCCGTTTGTGAAGAAACCATAATGCAAACGTGCTTGATGATGACACATGCAACCTCATGTCTATGGATTATTTGGTTCGATCCTGTCGGTGGTGCCCGCGGTCCACAATATAGCTAGTACAAATGCACTTGAGGAGCTTTTCTTTGTGAGGATACCTCAACGGCGGCGCTTCCGACGGCGTTGAACGGCCACGAGCTACACAACTGTCTGTAGCGACCAACGTCCTGCAAGACACACAAGAGATCGAGCAAACCTTGGCCTTGGCACCGCGCTCGATTTGTTTCTTGCCACCTTGGGGACCACTCGGTTTGGGCGCACTTGGGGCGTTCGTCCTCCCCGCAAAAGGCTTCTTGCCGCCGCGCCGCTTGCGCGTTTTGAACTTGTCACGTACAGCGCCCTCGCCCTCGCGGGCCTTCCGCTTCGTCCCTTCTTCGCTGATAGAAAAGAACTTTTTTACTGCCGCGAGGGTCGTCATGTGAGCCTCGAGCGGCTTGGCGTAGGTGTACAACGAGTCAAACTTGTGGATGCGTAGCTCGTCACGCATCGCATTGCGCAGCTGCGCGGGCTCGAGCTGATCGGTGATGATCTTGAGGATTGCTTTCCGCGGCCCCAAGGTCTCCATATCTTCTTGCAGGGCGTGGGTCTCGATGATTGTTTGGGCGTCCGTGATAAACGTGGCCACCTGCCCAAAGACGTCTTCGTCCGCGTCGTACTTGATCTGGAGCCCTTGAAAGAAAACGACGTAGTCGTGGGTCGAGCGGGTCAGGTGTATGTCATCGTTCGCGCGCTCATGCATCAAATCCGTCAAGCGACGTTGAAACTCCTTCTCCGTAAGGTCGTCGATGTCAATATCCCACTTGAGCATACACACCGACTCCAAGAGACCGCGCTCGATCGAGTCAATCCACTTCTTGTTGTAGACCTTGACCGGGACACCCGTCGCCTTCGAGTGCTCGAGTACGGCTTTGTCGTACGTGTCGCGCTTCTTCTTCCACGCGAGCAAGTACTTCCGGCCCACTCTCTCAATGGGCGGGAAAGTGATCGTCACGAATACAAAACCCGTCTTTGATGGACCATAGTCGCTCGTTGGCCGTCCGGTCAGCGACTTCTTTGTCATCTTGTCAAAGACCGTTCGAGACCAAAGTACTAGCGTCCGCGGTGCCAACACAAGCAGCAGCGAGGGGAGAGCCGTCTCTCGTGGGAAGCAGGCAGTTACTGATCTACGTGACCGATCCCCATGTCAACCGGACGTGACTATCTAGGAAGGGTCACTACCGGCGTGGAAGGATAGACTAGACGTGCAGCTAGTATGCAATATGAAAACCCATACAACTTGTATCTTCACTCGGCTTCTCCAGCTGAACGCAGCTTGCATTGGTAGGACATGGCTCAGCCTTTGGTCCACACACAACACTATCCACGGCTCAGATCTAATCCATTTGACGGTTAGATAAGAATCCGCTCTCGTCGCTCGAAGAGTGCTCTGGGAATTCTAAGCATCTGAGCATGTGTGCATTTGAGACCCTGTCATTCAAAAACGCTCAAGATCGATCCCAACCCTATCACGACGCAAGATCAAGTCAGCAATCTTGCTCTGTGCAAGATCATTGAGCCACGTTTCCGCCGATAGACCGAGGGTTGGAATATGAAAACATGACTCTGAGCACGCGACCGTCGGAATGGCTTGCAATTTGGCAGCCGTCAAGGTTCAATGAGCCTTCCCAGCACCGTCGTGGCATCACAAGTAGCAAACAAGGCTTTCTTCGCACCAAACAAAACATCAAGCACCCACGATGTAGGTGGAGTGTACGTAGACGTCCATCGAGAGTCGCTGCACCTCTTGCTTTTCCACCACGTCAAACCAAGACGCGACTCCAGCATGTATCTTTGGCCGCCGCTGGCCTTTCTGATTGGCCGATTTCGCAGCATTGCGTGGCAGCACGTCGGCCTTTCCTGCACCAGATGCTGATGCGTGGCAGCCGGAGAAGCTTTGAGCAGCAAGGGACAGTTCAGATTCACGTTGTGGGTGGGTGGAGCTGTAGAGGCTGCATTGGCAATCAGCTTTTGCTGTGCGACTTGAACTCGCGTAGGCGTATTTCCATCGTTCGAGTGTCATCCAACACCACGATTCGCTGTGGCATACACGCAATGTGGGCCAAGTTTGAAGTGTAGTGCACGTCTCTGTACTTGGTGTGGTCGCTAGCATGGCTACTGTGGCACAACGACCGTCACGACGGCCTGGATGTGGGTGGGTGCGACCTGATCGCTGCGTCGCTCGTTGCGACTTTCGAGCCAACTTCAAAACCAATCTCATTTTCAATTTGGACAGCCACCAGAACCACAACCTATGCAAGCTCTTGCAACGACCGCGCTGTTGGCATTGATGGCCATCACGGCGATCCACGCGCGGACATGCGGCGCGCCCGAGTGGAACACCGACTACTACGGCGACGACGTCTCCAACTTTGTGACGACCGGCGACTTCAACAGCATGCTCCAGCAGTGCTGCGACGGCTGCACGGCCAACAGCACGTGCGTCGCCTACACGCTCGCCAACAACGTCTGCTACCTCAAGTCGGGCGGCGGCAACCGCAAGCCGGTGGCCGGCGCCACGTCCGTGCTAATGTCCCGCACACCGGCCCCCGTCGGTACGTGCACTGCGCCCGAGAGTAACGTCGACTACTATGGCAACGACCTCTCCAAGCAGCTCGTGTCGGGCAGCCAAGCTGACCAGACCAAGGCGTGCTGCGACGCTTGTGCCAAAACGGATGGCTGCAACGCGTTTTCAATCGCAGAAGGAATCTGCTACCTCAAGTCGTCGGACGCTGGGCGCAAGGCGGCACCGGGTGTCATCTCGGCTAAGAAGGCAGGCGCGACACCGACACCGACGCCGACACCGACACCGACGACCACGCCGACACCGATCGTTGGCCGAAAGTGTGGAACGTTGACTTCTTTGGCAACGACATTTCCAACTTTGACACAACCGGCGACTTTAACAGTATGCTTGGTCAGTGCTGCGATGCGTGCAAGGCCAATACCAAGTGCGGCGCCTACACATTAGCGGAAAACGTCTGCTACCTCAAGACAACTGCTGGTAACCGCAAGCCAGCGAACGGCGCGACCTCGGTGACGGTGTTCGAGATCACTGCCCCGCCGACGCCGACGACTGCCCCGCCAACACCGACGACGGCTCCGCCGAACGCCAACGCCGACACCGGACCCGACGGGGTCGACGCTTCGCAAGTGTGGCAACCCCGAGTGGAACACGGACTTTTTCGGCAATGACCTCTCGGACTTCCAGGCGACCGGCGACTTTGGCGCGATGCTCAGCCAGTGCTGCGACGCGTGCAAGAAGAGTACCAAGTGCAACGCCTACACGCTTGCTGAGGGGGTCTGCTACCTCAAGACGACGGCCGGCAACCGCAAGCCGACACCCGGTGCGACCTCGGTTGCCGTCATCACCATCGCGTCGTAAAAGCATCCATGGTCCACGCATCGTCTACTGTAATTTCAATGTTTGGCAACCGCTTTTTGCAATTGTCTTACTATACGTATTGGGACAATATTGGTCACGGAGAATCGAATCGCAAGCGAAAGGACGTTTTTGCGTGTTAATATTACCGGACCGTCAATGAATCGTCTGCCTTCAGACGAGAGTATTAGCTGTGGAGGGCACGACCTTCTTGACGTGTCAAAGACCGTTTCTCTTACTGTCCTAGCTTGTACGTACAAGGATATAAAACACAGTCGAAAACACCGCTGTAAAGTAGTAGATTCATTATGTCTCTCTTCGGGCGCGGCGATACATATCATGACGTCCATACAAGGAATGTCATCCTTCTTATGAATAAGAGAGTTTCGTGAATACCATCCCACCGTCCACGAGGAGCGTTGGCGTGGACGTGTTGAGACCGTCAACTGGAAACGAAAGGCCGCCGGTCGACATGGCATCCAGCGCCCACAACAGCGTCGTCGCCGAGTTGCGTGCAAAATAGACCGGCGCCGAGTAGGCGCCATACTGCAGCTGGAGAGCACCGTTCTGGCCACGCGAGATGGTCAAGTTGCCATAATACTCGGTCGAGATCGTCGCCGCGTACGAGCCAATCAAAGCGTTCTGGGTGGCAGCCGGGATCGGATCGCTCAGCTCGGCCCACGACGCGCCATCAAAGAGGCGTGGCGCACACGGCGTCGGTGGACGCAGCGCCTTTGCGGCTGTAATCGCCTCTTCGAGGCCCCGAGCCAGCGTCCGCTCGGGGATGCCGAGGAAGATACCAGTGAGGTACGTGCGCATGCGATCGGACAAGACGGCGTCTTCGAACGGACCATCTTGGGCCTCGGCGTTGGCAAGCAGCACGATACCTAACTGCTCTTTGGGCAGAAACCCGTTCCGAGTTTTGAACGCAATCATGTCGCCGCCCTTGTCAAAGTAATGACGGCCAAACATGACGGCGCTTGTCACGTCAAAGCCGTAGCCAGCGGTCATGGCGCTACCGTCGGGCGCATACGAGTAGCCCAATACTTTGGCGGTCGATGCTGCCTTGGGAGCAATGGTGTGGCCCGTGATCATGGCTTCGATGGTCGTGGGCGAGCGAAAGATACCCGCGCCTTTCGAGAGGAGAAACTTGGCGAAGATCGCGAGGTCTGCCGCGGTCGAGATGATCGAGCCTGACGCATCGCGCCCGTTCTTGTACCCAAGTGCAATCTCGGGCGACGATCGCAAATGATACGGTCCAGCCACTTGGCCGTTGCAGATGACGTGGCCGAACGAGAGGTCGCCATTTGATGGCACGTCCGGCACGGATGCAAACGTGTTGGTCATGCCAAGCGGCTGGAAGAAGGTTGCATCGAGATACCGGGCCCACGTCGTATTTGTCTCATGCGCAATCACTTGGCCGAGGATCACGAAGTTCAAGTTGGCGTAGGCGTAGCCAGGACGGAGGCGTCGGGTCGTTTGGAAGCCGCGCAGCGCCCGCACAAGCGTCTGCTCGTCCGAGTACAGGCCCACGTTCAAGGCAATATCGCCTTCGTATGCGCCGAACACCGAGTTCATGGCTGCGAGGTCGCCGAGCGTCGCGTACTTCTCCGCGTACTTGTCAACAAGCTCCAACCACGGGAGACGGAGCTTGACCGGGTCATCCCAGCTCAAGCGTCCTTCATCGACCTATCACAGTCGACCATTCGTCAGAAGTCCAAATGTTAAGTTACAAGACATCAACAAGGCACATACCAGCTTGGCGATCCCCAGCGCAATAAATGTCTTGGTGAACGACCCAATCTGAAACTGCGTGTTTTCAGTCACGACGTTCGAGTCGTTGCCGTACTAGACAATATAAAGCCATTTGAGGTGGCCACATAATTTGGAGCAAGCAAGAACGTACTTGTTTGGTCCCAAAGCCGCGGGTAAGTACCGTCTCGTTCTGGTAAACGACCGAAAGGGCAAAGCCCGGCACTGCGTGCTGCCGGAGCTGGTCTTCAACAAATGCGATCGCCATCGCCTTCTTCTCGTCGAGCGACCGCGTGTGGGGCCAGTCGACGATGAGGCGAGCTTGTGCGAGCTGCAATAGCAAGATCGCCACGACGTACATCCAGCGCATGGCTCTTCGTGGCTGCTGGCAAATTGAATTGTGGTGATGTTGATCTGGGTTGTTCATCCACCGTCCAGCTCCGATAGGCAAACGGTTGTGATTGGCTATCACGACCACTGTGACCTGCATTCCGTGAAGAGTGCATGTCTGATGAGCACGCCACGAGCGCGCCTGTCCTAAACTCTCAGATATGATACAGCACAAATCTGAAGAAACACACAAGCATGGGCTCTAGAATGTCCTCGTCGTCGCAGAAACCCATACTGGTAATCCCGGAAATACACCGCCTGACAAGAATGTCCTCGTCGTTAACTCGATGAATCGACTCGACACGAGTCGTCTAGTTGCACGTAAATCCGGCACTGCGAAGCGCGTCCCGGCCATCGTCCTTGCCGACAATCACCCGCTGCATGGTCGTCGGTGACGCCAAGTAGGTCTGCGCCACGCGGACAATATCGTCCTTGGTCGTTGCGAGGAGTTGCGTGCGGCGCGCTTGCAGCATCTCGTGCGTAAAACCGCGCGTGAAGAGCCCTTTGCCCTTGGCCGACGGGGCTTGGGGCGCGTCAATCGAGGAAAAGAGACCGAGAAGCGCTTCGTCAACGTCGCGGTGCGAGAAGGCGCCGGTCGCCGCAAACGTGGCCGCGCCATCGTACGCCTCGAGCGTCTGGAGCGTGTGTGGGTCGTAATACGAGCTCATCTGAAACACACCTTCGCCCTATCGTATCAAAGTATCAACCGAAACAATCGAAAAAATCGAAAAAGGTAGAAAAATACCTGCGACGCGCCAGCACCGTACGCACCGCCCTTTTCGCGTACGTGCTGATGCAGGTAGCACGACGAGAGCACCTACAAATGCAAAGACAGGCATGATGTCTTCTTGAACAAATAGACAATAATAGTGTACCTGCGCCAGGACCGTCAACGGCACATGGTCGGCGTGGAAAAGCGGCACCGTCGGAATCGCTTGCACGTTAAAGTTGACCGAGAGGGGGTACCCAAAAAACGCATTGGGCGTCGCTTCGGGCAGCTGCGTCGGGGGAAACACGGGCGTCACCGGCGCAACCTCGCTCGCGCGCGGGAGGTGGGCGACGAGCGATCCCGCAATCGAAGCTTCGATCGCCGTCATCAGATGTGGTTCAGTGACCACCGAGAGACGCATGGTTTCCGACTGGAAAATGTGCTGGGCGAGCGCACTCAGCGCCGATGCAAACTGGAGCAGCATCGCCGGGTCCTCTTCGGTGGCCTTGAGCCACGCTTGCATCGCATCAATCGCCGTGAGACCGTGCAACCTAATGACATTATTTTCCATAAAATAAGTATAAAATACCACGACATACTGTTCGTAGGGCGTCGAGACCGCCGTGAGACCGAACTGGGCACGGGTCGCCG